AAAAAATACATATTTTATTGATTAATTAGGGGAGTTAGTTTAATTTATGATTAATGAAGTTAATTAATTTTAATTAAAATAGATTAATCATATTTATTGAATTTGATTTGAGATAATTAGATAATTTATTATCTCAAATTAATGATTAGTAAATGTGATTAATTAATTTTAATTAATTTTAATTAATGTTAAATTAATTATTTAATTAAATTAATTATCTTGATTAATTAATCTTAATTCTCAATTAACTTTAATTTTGGTCAAAGTCAAAGATATCTTTCATTTATTTCAATTTCACACAAAACTTTCAAGATTAAACAATTTGGTCCATGGGTCAACTCTTTTTCAAATCAGTCCTCTATGTTCGTGAATTTAATCAAGTTAGTCCCCTTAATTTTTGCTTGTGTTCATTGTGCATGCATGCCTTTGATCTTGTCCATTTTTGTCCAAAAATTTAAAATGTCACAATTTGGTCTATCCCTTTTTCAGGCTTGCCTATTAAGACTCAAACATAAATATAATAAATAAGTTGAATCAAAACCCCCAATGTTAAAGTATGCACCGTGTTTAAACGGAGGATTGTGAGGTGCGCGTATGCCCTTCCTCACTCCTAACCGAACCCTCGAATCTCGATCTCTGTGCAGACCCGTTTTAGGTGACTTGTCCCACCTTATAATTTGGACGAGTGGCGACTCCCTTTTTCTTATATATTTCACATTTAATTTTTCAATTTATTTTGAAAAAAATCTTAAGTGGTCGTCAACAGGTAGAAATACAAAATGACAAAGATCGCCTGACAACATTGGATTGGAAAAGCAAATTCTGAAACTGTAGATAACAGACACCATTCACTCCATTCCTCCATGAATATATAATTAACATATAATTAACGTGAATTGATTTTTCACTCTAATCTTTTATTATTATCTTACTAATTATTAATTTATTAAAATTTGTGGTACCTATAGTTAATCGTAACACTAATACTTCATCCAACCGTTCAAAAATGTGTCTTATACAATTTAATGAGCGAAAAACATTAACACTCCATGATTTTTTTTTCTGAATAGGGTATAATTTACAAGTATAATTTAAGCACATGTCAATTAGTTAACAAATCAAAACAATTAATCATAAATTACAAAACAGTTAGCATTTAAGACTAACTTTAACTCAATTAACAATTTCAATCTCTAAAAAGTACGAAAGGAGAATAATAACATGCTATAGAGTAGAAGAAAGCATATGTTATGAGATTTATTTAATTTTTGGGATAATAATTTTCATTTGGCAATCTTCTAAAAAATTAATATTTTATTATCACAAAAGTATTATAAACTACCGACGTAAGAGAATGTACAACATAAACTATAGAATGCAATACTATGAGCATGCATAGGTAAACTAGACTATCAATTGATAGTTGTAGCAGATGATTACTCTTTGTACTTTTTTTTTAACAATGAGAAATTTTTTCGGGGCAAAGGAAAAGAGAATTTGAGATTAGAATCCAAGTTTTAATACTTCTAATTACGTCTTGAAAAGAAGGGTCAATAAACTTCGAAGTGCTAAACTGAGTACTCTTTATACTCAATATCAATAAAATTATTGTTAAAAAAAAAAGTCATAGAAATGTAGAAGAGTTCTTGATTTTAAAATTTATTCTTAATTAAAATTGCAAAATAACTAAATCTTATTGGATTTGAAACTTTTCATTCCCCATCCCCCAAAAGCCAAAATCAATTGAATTTAACCTCCGGAAATAAATTCAAAATTATCCATCCATAAAATTTCCTCCTTTCCCCTTGAAGTGCCAGTGCTACCTC